CCCCTACTAAACCCAAAACAAACCACTATCCCTGCTACTAGGAAGAAAATTAACTCTATCCCAGCCGAAACCAGGACAAGTACCCTTGGCATTTCCCATTACCCAGCACACCATTCTTGGATGCTCCTGACAGCTGTGGTGGCCAAGCTAGAAAGGGATGGGAAAAAAAACCCAAACAAACTAAAAACCAAACCCAACCCTTAGGCTAAACCTAAAGAAGCTGTATCTGAGGTCAGTATAGTTACATCTGCCTGGGGCTTCTCCCTTCCAACCTGAGTTATCCTTATATCTCCTTACCCAAAAAAGATGGGCGTTTCAGCAGGACACTCAAGGGTACAGCATCAGGACACAGCCAAAGAGGCAACAAGGCATCTAATCCTACAGCTAAATTTGTAACAATTATTTGCAAAAGCATAGTTTTTGCTGATTTAACGGGGTCGAAACCATACGGCACCCTTGCTAATATTTGTAGAGATACATACATAGATGAAAGCTTAAAACCCAAGATCCTCCACGCTCTACGTGAGATCATCCTTCTCAGGAGAGGTTTGTACAATCTCCTGAGGCTCTGAGCAGCAGGACAGTAGGAGTTAATGCTAACGGTGTAGGAGATCAGTCTGGATGCTTTAAGATGTCAAACATTAGATGCAACTCAGACACTTAAAAACTACGTGCTGCAGAGGGGAGGGTCCGTATCAGAGAGTATTGCAGACACTTACCCTGACACTCCTTAACTACTAGTTGAAGCCACTTATAAAGTCTAGAGCAGCCAGAAATGTGTCTTCACCTTATTCACTTCTTCCACTGCCAGGCCCCAGCTGCAAGACTCCACCTACGAGAACTTTGACCGCAGACACGGCGGCAGCCAGGCTTTGCCGACAGAAAGAACAGCATCGAGACGCAGCTGAGGACCTGGGCAGTCTCATCCGCACTCGCTTGCACGGTTCAAATTCCTGTCTGCTCTGTACATGGGTGCCTTTTCCCGGTGAACACAAGACTGACGTCGACTGATGCACAAAAGGGCAAACAGGCCTTGTAAGCGCGTGTTTTCCATGCCTGTTGCTGCTTACAAGCCAGAGAAGCCTTTAAAGGGAAGACAGAAAAAAGAAAAGAGGAAACAAAGAGGGATGGAGGTGGAAGAGCAGAGGAGGATCTGCGTGGGATGTCAGTTCTAACCAACCCGTGTGTTTTTAGCCTGTATCGGATAGTGTTTAGCAAACAGATAACAGTCTACCATTTTCTCACATCTTTTTGCTTTGGCTTTTTTCAGACATTACTTCAAAAAGCAGTTTTCACCACTCCACTCGTCAAACCACACGCAGCTTCCTAGAGCCAGCAAGTGAAGTATTTTCATGTTTCAAATACCAGCTGTGAAAAAATGCTACCAGAATTTCTGCAGGGGTTTTTTATTATTATTATTCCTTACCTTCCAGAAGAGTTTATTTAAGAGTTTAAAGGAAATCTTAACTTTCAAGAGGAGTCCAAGCAAAAAGGAAAAGAGGTTTTCCAAAAGCTGGTACAGCTGAAAGCAAGGCATTCAAAGGGTGGTCTGTATTGTAACTCTACTGCAGCTCCTAGCGCTCGTCTGCACACACGACGAGAATCTCAGAGCTCTGCGATAAATATGCCGTGAAAATGTTCCAATGAACCAAATTAGCTTTTTTTTTTAAAAAAAAAAAAAAATTGCTAAACAATTTCCATCTCTGCGTTACATGAAAAAGTTCCTTTAAGGCCTTACTGCTCATCTCTTAAATTCTTCTGAGATGAAATCACTACTACAAAGTCACTGGCCGTCCACAGTCAAGTCTCTAACCCCACTGTGAAGCACTCCAAGACCAGGTGAAGAGACCCAGCTCATGGTACAGGATGACACAAGTCAACCTGGAGCCTTGGGTCAGGCAGACAAAGGTCCAGGAGAGGGCTGTGAAGAGCAATGGGTTGGCATGGAAGAAAAGGAGACAGAATGAAAAAAAAAAAAAAAAAAAAAAAGAAGGAGTGACAAGAACCTACTTTCAGGTTTATATCACTGGATTCGATGCTCTGTGGAATCATTCCAGTGCAGCAGCTCCAAAACTCGTTTCCTAATGATCCTGCTTCTGGTAACAACCGCCGCTGGCTGGGAGCCCAAGTTGTTCCTGAGCTACCATCGAGCCTGTGGTCCTGCTTGCAAGCTCACCCCCAGCCTGGGAATTTTTATTTTAATGCTCACCTCTTCATAACATCTGCGCTGGGAAAATAAAGCACAATTTTAAATGACTTGGCCAGGATAACAAGGGAAAAAAAAGGAAAGGAAAAAAAAAAAATGCAAGGAAATGTTTAAACCTGATCTTTTAAATCCCAGTTTAAAATCCCAGTAGTGGCAAATCCAGGTTTAATAAATATAGGAAGAGATGCAAAGAGGAAAAGACATTAGACTAGACATTAGAAAGAAGTTTTTTACAATGAAGGTGGTGAAGAACTGGCACAGGTTGCCCAGAGAGGTGGGAGATGCCCCATCCCTGGAAACATCCCAGGCCAGGTTGGCCGGGGCTCTGAGCACCCTGCTCTGGTTAAAGCTGTCCCTGGCACTGCAGGGGTTGGGCTGGGTGGGCTCTAAAGGTCCTTTCCAACCCAAAGCATTCTATGATTCTACGAAAAGGAAGTTATAGCAGACAGCATAGTCATGGACCAGTAAGCTCAGTTTCACAGGGAGAAAGAGATCTCAGAAATATTAACTGGACAAAATGAATTGAATTAGAAATTCAATTAAGAAAATAAGAGCCCTTATAATTTATAGACATACATTAATGAGAACCCAATTCCACCCATGGATGGGATCGAAGCTTGGCTTACAGGATTTTACTCTTGAAAACTACTTCTTTAACTCAAGTAGTTTGAGTCCAAATAGAAGCATCAGACCTCATGCCCCAAAACCACTGAGCGTGCCCCGCTGCACGTTATCGGCACCCTACGCGCTGCCAGCAAGCGCGTGTCACAAGCCAGTAACTCAGACGTGAGGAAACTCATGGATTAGCACTGTCCAGCTTTTACTTACTCAGCTTCCAGAGCACAGATGATGTTAGTGCAGCAAATTGG